TTTAATATTGATTTAATTTTCTCTTTTTTTCTCTATTAATTATTGTATTTATACAATTAATTTGCCTTATGCTTTATCTTATCTTATTATTCATTATTATTTATTATTATTATTAAATTAGTATCCAAACGATGAGAATGAGTCTAAGTTTGTGTTTATACCGTATAGCGTCAAATTTTCGTGGTTGAAAATTTTCGTGATTTTTGTGATTGAATGGACAATCACGAAAATATTTTTCACAAAATTTAATTTTAATATAAATGTGGGCGTGTCCTATCACGCCTTTTATTTGTTTCTTGGGCACAGCTAAGAGTCTCTCCTATAAAGGGAGTCCACCTTTCTTGGTATATGTGATAGCCACGGATACACGAAGGGAATTAATATCGAATAATGCTACCACTCATGTTGCTTCTTCTCCAAGTCCAGCTGCAAGGCTAGCTACTAGCGGCCACATGGATAGGAGTGGCTTTAATCATCACGAAATTTTATTTAAATCACGAAAATTTTTTAACGAAAATTTACTTGAAAGCAAAAATGTATGGAATCACGAAAATTTTCACCCACGAAAATTTGACACTATACGGTATGTCACTCGCCTCAAGAGCTGTTGATTAAACAACCGATCAAAGGGAAGCATAAATTATGTGAGTATATACTGGTAGTAATGTATAGCTAGAAAATTGTTATTGGTAAAATTTGGCGAATTGACTTTAAGAGGTTTGGAGGTTAAAATTTTGGCGAAAATTTAACTCTGTGCATCTTTCTATAAAGCTCTAATTATTTTTGTTATCATAATAATATTATTATTATTTATGGCACACGACATCTTTATTATTTATTATTATTATTATTATTATTTTTTGTAATAATTGTTATTACTTTTATTATTATTATTATTATTATTATTATTATTATTATTATTATTATTATTATTATTATTATTATTATTATTATTATTATTATAGAGGAGAGTTAGAAAGAAAATAAAATATTGTTATATTTAAAGAGGAAGAATAAGAATAAGAGTAATATTTAAGACATTATGAGGGATAGAGTTGCATCATCCATCATATTAATGGTCCGCCACTTAGTCCTTGAGCCTCTTAAACATAGAATAGTTGCTCTCATGATAACAAAAGACATATGAGTCCACAACCAACAAATAATCTCACTGTAACTTCTCTCCCATTTGCATGACAACCTATCAGCTAATCTTTTCAAAAACACACTTGCTTCTCTGCCCATCATTCCATCCACTGAGGTGCACAATGGCATAGATATTAGAGACTACATAGTCTCTAATATCTATAATAATGGTGTGAACATCGCCCTCCTCTCTTCACATGCATTCTTATACTTATCTTTCTCTTCTTTCTCAGCAGCACTTTATTATTATTATTATTATTATTATTATTTATAGACGGACCATTTCAAGTGTTAAGGGCCTCATTGACTCCATGAAATTGTATAGCTTACCATATTTAGTCATTTTGACTAAATAATTAATTGGTGATAATAATTCAGTCTCCAATCTGATGCAACTGCAGTTTATGTGATGTTGGATAGTGGAGCTTTTCAAGGATATTTCAAGTGAGATTATCTTTCACAAATCTTACTTGTTAATTCAATACTTTATTGTACTGTTAGTGATAATGGGTTTTTAATGAACCCAAACAAAGTCTATAGCATGACATTTACGTCTTGGACTGATGTTAGTGTTGAAGATGCTACCAAGAACATACAAACAAAGTATACTTTTATTAAAATTGATGATAAATGATGAACATTGATCTTTTAGATCACTGGTTGCTGACCTGCTTTGATTGACTGATGAAATAGAACTCACTCATGCTTCTTGCTAACTTTATTTGAAATTCTTTAAAAAATTTTGCATATTATACATCTATAAATTTAGGGAATGCATC